TATAAATATATATACATTCTTAGAAATATATGTATATGTGTATGTATGGATATCCTTTCAGATATTTGTTCGTATATATATATGCATAAATATATATATATATTTATATATATATATATTAGAAGCGTATATATAACTGTGTTCATATGTACATGTGCATATGCACTTGTATGGCTGTTGCGGCATCGACCTACTTACCTAATTCTAATCAACACCCACATCTCCAGGCATTCAGAGACACATCTCTATCTCTACAGATGGTCGCCTACCTCTGGGATGGAGAGTTATACTAAATAGCCCGGAAGAGCGTCGAGTGGTTCTGTATAACGCGAGAGAGCATCAGATTGTTGTGCAGAATACACACGACGCCATGCAGCGAAGTCGTTCGAGTACTCAATCCTTCACCAGCGAGTTAAGCGAAGCCGATGAGGTGCTGATGGTATGTGCCAGAGAGCGCGAGAGAGCTATCGTATATGTGGTGGGGGTACAATAGATAAATATATATAATACAGACTGTGAAGTGTGACTGGTACGGGATATATGGTACATCCAGTGTTAGCAACGGGGTGTTTGTTGTATGGCAACGCACTTGCTATGTATAGTTGATCATATGTATCAAATTGATACAGACTGTGAGGTTTGAATAGTATGTGCTAGATGGTACCCCCGAGGTTTTACGGACTCCGATCTTTTGATTGTATGTTTAGGAGGACACTTGATTGCTTTGTGTCTGTTGAACTGACAGGCTAATGTAGCAGGCGAGGTACTGGTGGTAAGTACTGGAGAAGATCACAATTACTGTGTTTGTATAACAGATTTATAAGCTGTCTGCTTGGAATTGGAAAATAGTAGTATCTGGTAGGGCATATAGCTCATTATGCACAGATATATATTTATATCTATATTTATATTTATATTTATTCATATACAGAATTTATGTATGTATGTTAGTATGTATGATGTGCATATGTATGTATCTATGTATCTACGTATCTATGTATCTGTGTAACTACGTATGTATATATGTATCTATGTATCTATGTATCTATGTATCCATGTATATATGTATGTATGCATGTATATATATATATATATATATATATATATATATATATATATATACTATAGTAGTATACGTACTA